GGAAGCTCTTAGTACAATAATCAAAGTCCTCAATTTGTAGGGACCACACTGAGAGGTAAATGCCTTGGGCGGTGTGGAGGGAACCAAGGAGATTTAAGGCTGCTCTCGAAAACTATGTTTTTATGTAATCAGTTCACACCTGAGAGTTATGCCTTTACTAGAGAGTGAAACACAGTTAAGATCATATAACTTACAGCTACATTTGAGGAGGACTCAAATATGATGGAAGAGATAGGTGAATTCAGTTTAGTCCAATTCAACAAATATGCACCCACCAGGTTTCAAGGAGGGCACTGGGTTCTGGGGATACAGGGAGAAGCAGCAAGTGCCCCCTAACCTCCAGCGGTTCACACGGAAGTAGGGGGGTAAGATATATATAGAAGTAGTTTCTTCAGGACCAATTTGAAATCTTCAAGGGTGTCTTAGTCTACTGAGGCTTTCATAACAAAATACCATAGACTGGGTAGCATAAAGAGCAGGTATGTATTTTCTCACAGTTCTGGAAGCTGGAGGTCCAAGATCACGGTGCCAGCATGGCTGGGTCCTGGTAAGGACTCCCTTCCTGGGCTGTAGCCTTCTCTTTTTGTGCTTATATGGCCCGTCCTCTTCTGATAAGGCCAGCAGTTCTATCAGACCGGGAGCCCAGCCCTATTCTTCATTTAACCTTACTTACCTCTCTCCAGACAGTCACACTGGGGGCTGGATCTTCAACATATGGACTTGGGGAGAAACAGTTCAGTCCATAGCAACAGGCCCTAACCCACATCATAACAAACATATTAAAACGTACCCATACCATATGTTATATCCTTTTTTTGTTGTTGTACAGTAAGGGAAAAGATGTTTATAATTTGCTTTTGAAATTATTTGGCTATGAGTAATTAATTTGTGATTGCTGCTTCTCAGCATTCATTCATTCTTGGGATTTTTTCCCCCCAAAATGAAAGAATTATAAATTGTTTTCAAATGTAATAAAATATGTGTGAATTTCAAATTTGACAATTGATGAGACAGATGTAAAGCTAGATTTTTGTGTTTAATTGAGAATTAACTAATTTTTACTTTGCAATTTTTATATTTTGTAGCCAATACTTTTTTTTCCAGGTCTCAAACACTTTTGTAGGCTCTTAAAAAGCTTGCTAGGCCCTAAGCATTGTCTGTAATGCCTAATGGTGTGCGTATTTCATAGCTCCACTTCACACTTCTAGACAGGTAGTTCCTAACTCCAACCTCTCTTCCAAGTTCTGGTGTAGCATGGCCACCTGTTGGCCAGGATGCTCCTGATGCCATACTGACATTGTAGCCTGGCTGTGTTCCAAGCATCCTCTTCCCAGTTCCACCCTACCTCCTATTACTTGCCATCTCTATTACACTGACATCACCACCTACCTAATGGGAGACTCAAGCTAGTGCAGTGATCGTCAGTGGTCTCCAAATCCACCTGTATCGGGCTTCAGGCTGGTATCAGGATGACTGCATGGGAACTGCCTGGGAACCTTGTTATGAATACTGATTTCTGTACCTCTTCCCTGGAGACCTATGCAGTGGTCTGGGGTAAGACTTGGGAATTTGTTTTCCTTAACAAGTTAATGGGCTGTCAGATTTGGGAAGTTGTAGACTTGGGTAGTGTTAGTAGAATGAAAAAGAGGTGTGGATTTTAATAACAGTACCCCTTATGATAACACAAAATCCCATTGATTTATTGTCCCAAATCAGAGGTTCTCAAAAGGCTCCCCAGCTGTTTCCAAGATGCCCCCAGTGTGTGGCCTTAAGGATGCTCAGGAGTATTCTGCCCTGGCCCTTGGGCTGTGTGTCTCAGGTGGTGAACTTTGGTGACTATTACTGTAACAACAGCTGTTAGAGGAAGAAATTCTCTTGCCTCTTGTTTATTTTCCCTTAAGTATGAGTTTGAGGCAGGCTTTTTAATTCTTCATAACACCCTGGAGACCAGGTACGGACTCTTAATGAAGCTTGCCAAAAGGGAAGCACAAAACAGACCGCATGTAGAGGCTCAGACTCATTCTAGGGACCCTCCACCCTGCTCTTGACCTGCCCCTGCCACGAGGCCGGGTAACAGCTTACCCTTCACAATAGGACTGACTCCAGGTATCTCCACGGTAGGAGTTCAGGCAAAACTGACTTTCAGCCCAAAAAGAGAGGGATGTTTTTTCTCACCTCACTTTTGAAGCCCATACCCTGGGCCTTCATTTCTATTTCAGAATGATTGAGTGGTGTATCTATTCCCTTCAGGGAAAAGCAAACCGAAGTTGTACTTTGTGGTTGCACTAGGACAATCATACAGTAGTTCGATATCAAGACATATTCTGAAGTCTGGGTTATTCACTTAAATGATGCTGCCTGTTCAATTTCAGTAGCCTTGTCTAGATTTAGATGTACCAGCTTAGTCCAATTCCTTATTTGTCTTCAACAAAGGTTCAAAATACCTGGGGTATAGCCTCGCTCAGGATCACCTTGTTACGCATGCTCTGGGCACAGTAAGCTAATTATATGTCTCTCAGTCGACATAATAAACCTGTGAGCTAGTTTTTTCATCTTACATTTGAACAAACAGAAAGCAGAAGAGGGATTAAACGACTTAACTGAGGTCAAGCTTCCAGGAACGGGCATGCTGGGGTTTGAACTGAAGCCTCTTGGTTCCTAGTTTGTCAATTTAACTATCATGAAACACTGAGGAAGTAGGCTGAACGTTGAATTTGAGTAACAGGACCTGGAATAATAATGTCATTAATAGAAGTGGGGCAAAAAATTAGAGGAGAAGGTGTGATGGAGAAGGAGGGAGGGAGACAGTGAGGTCAGCTTGGGCTATGAAATAAGAGCCACTTGGCATCACTGGGTCCCTGCCTGTTTATCCCTCTATCTCAGCCTGATACCGTCTTCTTTGTTTCCAAGTTAATCACCATCCTTGACTCTCCAGGAGCCATGCACCAGCCCAGGCTGTGGTGAAGCAGCCTGTCCAGGGAGCCAGTGGCAGGACCACAGTCACAGCGATTGTCCAGACTGGTGGGGACTGGAGCACCGGCCTCTTCAGTGTCTGCAGAGATAGGAGAATTTGTATGTTTTCCTCTTCATTTAAGTTCTTCTGTACTGTTTTCTTTCCCAAGACATAAGTGAGTATCAAAGCTACATCAGGCCCAAGGACAGAAAGTAAATGGTTTCAGAAAAACTAGACTAAACTTCTAGGGACGCAGATGCCCTCCTTGGCAGGAAAAATCTTGTTTTTCACGAATGTGAATGCTTTTATAGAATATGTGGGTGACTTCAAGGAGTTTTTAAATGACAAAATCCACATAGACAAAGATGTACAAAATGGGCTTTCTCATCTGCAGCTGGTGGGAGAATAAATTGATACAGGCTTCCCAGCGAATGGTTAGTAAAACATACAAAAAGGACCTCAGGTGTTATGTAGCCTTTGACCTAGTAATTACATTCTTAGGCATTTAGTCTAAGGAAATAAATCATGTACCAAGATTTAGCAGCATCATTAAGTTTTGCAGCATTGGTTATAATAGCAACAGTCTGGAACAACCTAAATGTTCACTGGGGGCATCCATACAATGAGTTAATTACACAGCCATGAAAAGTCACGTTGTGGAGTAATGCCTACTGGGATGGAAAAATATCTGGCTGCATTTTTAAGTTAAAGAAGCAGATTATAAAACTATACATGTTAGGCACCATTTTGGGGAAGAAATGTTAAGAAAAATAACTGGAAGGATATAAATACAAATGTCTGCAGCAGGTGTCTCCAGATGGTAGGCTAGTGGATAATTTTTCTTTTTGCTTATGTGTCTAGTATTTCTATGAGGAAAATGTAGTAAGTACTCTTATAACAGTAAGATCATAAAATGAAGTCCCCTTTGTTGACTGAAATCTTTTCAGGCACTAGTGTAGTTATAAAGATGTACCAACAACACCGTCCTCTAGGTACATGATCTCCCCCTGGGTTTGACGTTCAAAGTGCATTGGTTCTATTTTCACCTGAGGACATTCTGACCCATCTTTGGTACCACATGTCAGTATCCCCTTCAAGGACCTGATGCTCTTGCCTAGGGAGCAACTTGGTCACAGAATCTTTTTTTGGAAGGGAGAAGATCCCTTTAATGGATGAGGGCCAGCCTCTTAAGTTCAATAGACCCTGGATTTAATATTTTTTGAAGAATACGGCTCTCTCCACCCTTTGGAGGCCTCTGGGAAGATCCGAATTTGTCCTAAATCTTCACAGGATGGATCAGTTCGGAGAGCTCCGAGCTGTTACATGATCCAAATCCTTATTCAGCCGAAAATCTTGCTGAGGCATAAGCTCTAACAACATTTTTTGGTGCTCTGATCATCCAGGCCTGAGCCTTCACTGTTTGCCTAGGCCTCAGAGAGAGACTGCTGAGCACCAAACCCTGTCCTCCATCCCTGTCCCTTTGCCCATCTGACCCAGAGCTCAGCAGGTTTCTTCCTGCCATGGCTGCCCATGTGGACTTCTGAGCAGACAACGTGGCAGCCCTTCTCTGGTTCTCTTCCAGATACTCTGATTTTGGTTATCATCTTGTACTGAAGTACAGAGAAGGCAGAATTGCGATGTGGAGACCTAGCCCCAGATTGGGAAGTGGACCATTTTCCTTTTATAGCTTGTAGTTGGGGGAGTTGAGAGGGGAGGGTCATCAATGCATATCCAAGTAGGGCAAAGCCTGGAATGTAATGTAGTGGTTAGGAGAACACATTTGTATTGGATATAGACCTCACCTTGAATCTTAACTCTGCCTCTTACTGGCCATTTGACTTTGAACGAATTCTCAGAGTATTCTTCCACCTTTAAAATGAGGATTTTAAAAAAGGTGCTTGAAAGTTGTCAAGATTAAAGCAGATAATGCATAGAACTCACTCTTGAACACTGGTGTGGAACATAACTGGATCAGCATTTTTTTAGTTGCATGCTGTACTGGGTTAAACAGTGTCCTCCCAAATTTGTCCCCCAAAACCTCTGAATGTGACCTTATTTGGAAATAGGGTCTTTGTGTTATAGCGAAGTAAAAAGGTTATATTGGATCAGTGTGGGCCCTAATCCAATGGCTGATGTTCTTACGAGAAAAGGGAAATTTGTACCCAAACACGTGGAGAAGATGGCCATGTGAAGGCAGGCATGGATGAGAAAAATGCATCTATAAACCAAGGAATGCCAAGGATTGCCAGCAACCACCAAAAGTTTGGAGAGAGATGTGGAACAGGCTTTCCTTCAGAGCTTCCAGAAGGAACCACCCTGCCAACACATTGATTTCAGAATTCTAGCCTCCAGAATTCTCCAATAGAGAATAGTTTCTATTGTTTTAAGACACCCCATTTGTGGAGTTTTGTTTTGGCTGCCCTCTGGGAAACCAATACACTAGCAAATGCTGTATTTCATTAGAAGGCTGTGGGGTAGCTCACAAAGTCAAGAAATCAACTAAACACGAAGTTCAGAAAGGACGAAATGCATTATCAGGAGCTAGCTGACAATCTGGTCGACTCTGAATGTTTCTATCCTTTTGCTTTCCTGTCTGAGAACTGAAGTTTCAGCAGTCGAGCCCAATTTGATTATCCTAGGTTATGCCTGCTGCTTGGCCAGGCCAGGGCATTTTGAATGACAATTCTCTCAATACTGCCCACAATAGTGAAGGGATAATTTCCTAAATTACGATGGGGCTGCTGTGCTCATGAAAATCCCAACAATGCACTTAGTGAATCTTAGGAATTAATATTCTTTATTATAAATTTTTATCCTCCAGTATGTTGAGGGCAGAGAGTTGAGTCAGGAGACTTAAACTGGCTGCTGCCCAGTCCCAAGAGTACCTAAAAAGTTGATCAAAAAAGGACCACTCGTTACCCCTTCTGCCTTAAGCATTGCTTAGCTCTGCACCCCACCCCCATCAGTGTTCAGGAGACCAACCACACTGGGTCTTCTGTGGGTTCCCGGCTTGGTCATTTGAGAGAGCATTCTGTCAAAGGGAGAAGGAAGGACATTTGGAGAATACAGTATTCTTTACAGTTGGGCATGAGCCGTGGAGGAGAGGACAAGGATATACAGTACCAGGTAATCTCAAATGTTCTGTGCCCTCATTGTTGTTCCCTGGATAGACCTCCATTTTGTGACTGCTCATCGTGCCTCTAAGCCATTGTCTTGGAAGAGAATTTAGAGGCAGTATCACTTAATATACTCAGTACCTGCACCGTAATTCCCAGGGCACTGCTGGAGTATGACTGCCACGAGTCTTGGGTTTTTTTCCCTCCTTTGTTTACTTCATTCACAAAGTTTAATTTCAAGCAAATCACTGTGACAATAGTGGTGACAAACTTGGGAACAAAAAGGAGAGCTTCTTTGCACAACTTTGTTTCACATCAGATTCCCATCCCAGGACAGTTTTCCATTAGATGTTGGGAATTATTGCTCCAGTTTGTCATCCATTAAGCAAAAGGCACATTATGAACAGCAGTGATTTCCATTTCTTTTTGACATTTTGCTTCTTCATTTAGTTGTAATTATATTTTTTAACTGGCTCCCTCTTCCCACCTCTGCGCTTTCATCTGAATTCACACTGCAGTGGGATTAGAAAATGGCTGCTTCTGTGTCCTCTGGACATGTGGCTCCTGAAAGCTCAGATGTGAAGATGAAGCCACGCTGAAATAAGTGGCTGCAAAACAGCCTTGTGGGCGAAAGGCAGCTGTTCCAGCTGAGGGTGTTTGTGATGTTGCCACAGAGGAGATTTATGTGGGAGGTGTCATCAACATTGTTTATTAATTCAGCCAATATTTACTGAGCCCCTGCCGATGTGCAGTCATGTGATAGGTGTGACAGGCATCAGTCAGAGAGAATAAGACAGAGATGGCCTCTGAGATGAGATAGACAATAAGCAAATAAATTAATCGCAGTCGTGTGAAGTGCCATGGAGGAAATGAATAGTGTGTTTTGAAAGGAAACTGTAGGGGTTGAGTAAAGGATGGCTTCCCTGAGGACCTGACTGAAGCGGATACCTGAAAGATGGAAAAGAACCAGCCACTCAAACTACCTCCCCTGTGGAGGCATCACAAGCACCAGGTGGTAAAGAGCTTCATATGGACGAGAAAACGTCAGATGCCCAAGGTGGGTAGGGTGAAGTAGGCCAGCATTTTCTTTGGCTTTCTGGAAGCGGAAGGAGGCATGAAAAGGCCTCTGACTGGGATTCGTGTCCCTAAACTGTTTTTTGGGTAAACTGTACACTCTCTGAGAGCCCGGATCCCTGGTCATGCTCACTGCTCTAAGTACCCAGAGCACCTGATAAATAGAAGGTGCTTAAAGTATTTCCTGAATGATACATCAATGAATGACTTTTAACCTGTGTTTTCACTTGCTTCCTTCTTTCCTGCACTTCAGTGAAAGAATCATAAAGCCTCAGAGTCAGAAGGGATATCATGGTCAGCTGGATTTGCCCCTCACCAGTTTGTCTCAATCCTCTCTGCAGCAGGCCTGGCAAGGACCTGACAGCCTTGGCTTTCTGAACATTTCCAGGGAGGACGGCTCCTCTCCCTTGGAGCTAGCTCAGTGCTTTAGAAAATATGATTTTGAATGGGTTCCCGTGCACATAAGTACCTGGCCCTCTGGTATATGGTGAGCAGGAGCTCCATTCTTGCTCTGCTGCCCCCCTTCTTCCAAGAGGCCAGCACTCTTACCTGAGCCCAAATGTAGTCTGTATGCTTGTAAAGATATAAAAATTTTAAATGAGAATAGGTTAATCTTTTTATTATGAAAGTATTGTATAATCACTGTAAAAAAAGAGAAATACAAAAGGCTATAAAAGAAAAAAGCAGTGTCCTATAATTTTGGCTGTCAGAGATAACCGTTGTAGATATTTTGGTATCTGTCTTTCCAGACTTTTTCTGTATGTGGTGTGTGTAATTGACACAAATAATAGAACAGTAAACACATATAGTTCTGCATCTTCATTTTGTTTTAGTGTAACGAACAGGCAATCAGACCACATCGGCACTTCTGGAGCTAATATTTTAAATTACAGCATAGATTTCATTGTATGAATGTACTTAATTTATTCAGAAATTCTTATTAGTGGACCTTTATGTGTTTTCCAGACTTTTTGCTGTTTTAAACCAATGCTTTGTGATTATTCTCATACAGATGCCATTTTGCATGTGTGTGAGTTTATCTGCAGGATAATTACTGAGGAGTAAACCTGCTGGTCAGGTAGTATGTACAGTTTTAAATCTTGATAAATGTTGCCAAATGGCTTTCCATTTGGAAGTTGTGCTAATTTACTCTCCCACCCACAATGTATGAGCGTGGCTCATTCCTTTTCTGAGCATCTCTTATTGTTAGATGGTTCTGCCTTTTTGTGATAACTGATCTGAAATGTGCCTTGCTGCAGTTTCCACCCACCTTTCCTACTTCTGCTCTCTGGGGCTCCACACTCCGGTTTTGTGTAGGTTTCTTCTTTTTATCTCAACTCGCCTGTGAGTTAGAGAGATGAATAATGAACCACATTCCATGTGTGAGGGTGGAGCTCATCTCAGAACAAGCCAGGAACATTTAGGCTGTGGGTGCTGACATAACCACCAGGACTTCGGTGTAAGAGGAAGAGGCTGAATTTATGGCTTGTATCCCTTTTGAGTCTGAGCTGCTTTACAAAAATACATATATATTTGTGCATATACACACGTATGCATATACTTGCATATATATATTTTTTTTTACTTCACAAATGACACATGAATACATTCACTTTATTTTTAAAAAATGAAACGTTACAGAAAAGGGAACCATATTCCTCTTTTTTATTAAATCAGTTGAGAGGGTTTCCTTTCAGATCTTTTCCTATTTATATATGCATCCATTAGTAATATATATTATTTAAACAAAGCATAAATGGTATTATGCTGCACATATCATTGTGCAATTTGATTTTTTTAACTCAAAATATGTCTTGGAGATTTAGCTCTGTCGGTTCTTAATTGGTCTTTCACTGAGTTCTTAATTATTACCTAGCGTGATTTGCACCATCATGGTTTATGTACACTTTCCTCTATTAATGCACATTTGTTTTAAATTTGAAGCCACAAATAATGCTGTGGTGGATATCCTTGTACCCGCCTCTTTGTGTGCACGTGTAAGCATTACTCTAGGGTAGATAGTAAGTAGTGGAATTACTGGATCCCAGAGTATTTAAAATTTTACTAGATTCAGCCAAACTGCTTTCCAAAGTGACTGTGCCAATTTCTACTTCCGTCAGTGTATGGAGTACCTATTTCTCCATGGTGCCACACAGCATTTGACACTTAAAAACTTAAGAAAAATTTGGCATTCTTATTGGTGATAAATGGTTTCTGATGGTCTTAATATGCATTCCCCTGATTACTAACAACATTGAGCAGCTTTTCATATTTGCTGTTGGCCATTTGTGTTTCCTCTTCGGTGAATTACTTGTTCATTGTCCCATGCCTATTTTCTTCTTTTGTTTAATCCTTTATATACTGATTTGTAGGAATTCTGTGTGTATTCTGGGTACTTATGCTTGTTCTGTTACATATGCAGCAAAATTTCCTCCTCGAGACACATTTTTTTAGAAAGAAATGGAAAATTTTATTCTTGTTAACCTGAGGGTTATAATCTGGGACTTGTAAAAAGTAAATGGAATGTCACTTATTAGACATCCGGTCCACGCTCCTCGAGACTCTTAAAGACAGGATTTCATCATCTTACCCTTGTGCACCTCTTGTTGAGCCGTGAGCCAACAGTGTTTATCCTGCTGCACAACTTCGCAGTGCACCTGACCCAAGGATCTTTCGTAAAGAAGTTGTATGATTTCAAACTCTCCCACAGGAGTAAATATAAGCAGTGGTAGTGAGGACACTGTCTTGGAACACAAAACTCCACATTGTGGCATCCTAGATAAATACGTAAAACATGAGAACGTATGGGCATATGTGTTATGTGTAGCAGGTAAGACTTTGGGGCGAGACTACTGGAGTTCGCATCTGGCCTCTGCCCCTTCCTAATAAATATATGACCTCGGGCAAATGACTTAAGTCCTCTGGACATCGGTTTGCTCATCTGTAGAACAAGCCTAATAAGTAAATTTTATAGGATTGTAGGATTGTTGTGAGAATTAAGTGAGTTAATAAACGCAAAGTATTTTAGCAGGACTTGGCACATGGTGAAATCTGTACAAATATTAGCTATTATATAATAGAAGTTTGGCTTTCACAGTGTTTTCTTATCATATCTGACTTCTGCCCCAAGGTAATTGAATTTTGGGCGTGTTTCCTTTAGTATCTAGTACTGCCTTCTAATGACACTTAGATAACATGGATATACGATGGAAAGGATTAAAGATAAAGTTAACAGCGTGTGTCATTAAAAAAGACATGAGTCAAAAAAGTAAGGTACAGAAAGGGGAGAGTATAGCTCAGTGGTAGAGTGAGTGCTTAGCATGCACAAGGCATGGTTCAATTTCTAGTAACTTCATTTGAAATAAATAAGAAAATAAACAAATACATAAGCATAATTACCATCCCCCCAAAAAAGTTAAAAAAATAAAAATAAAGGAAGGTACAGGAGTTCCAAGGCACAGAACAAGAACTTCTTTATAATGTACTTACTGAGGATGGTGGGCATGTCTCTGCCAGTTAAAGTAGAGCAGTTCAGGCAATGTATAAACATCATTTATTATTCATTTAGATTACCAGATTTATAATTATGCAATTTTTGATTAATTTTTTATTTGCAGAGATTTTACACTGCAGTATTTTGTAATCCATGCATGCAATGAGACTTGATTGATTTTTGTATGCCATGATTCAAAATCCCCTAATTCAAGGTCACATGTGGTATGACCACTCTGAACTCACTGCAAGTTCATGGGCCACTTGCTGTCTTCTGACCTGTTCGTAGCAGTTGTCAGTGCTAATCTCACTAGGAGTAATGATTTCTTTTTTTAATGTGGGACAAAACATCCCAGACAAGGCTGAATTGTGTTTGCTTTGGACCAAAGATGCCTACATGATTTAGCAATTATCTTAAATTCCTGATGAGCTGGATGAAACAGATGTTCTGCTCCTCGCAGATAGGCTACTCCTTGTCCTCTGCCCCGCCAGTCCTCATGCTCTATGTGCACATGTGCTACCTCACCCCCCATGTGAAATTGCAGGAGTCCAGAGTCCAGGCATATCCCTTGAAGGTTCTAAGATAAAACAGTGTTCCTTGATTTTTGCTTCTTTGGCACTGAATTTGGGAGTAAGACTCCATACTCCTCACTGTTGAGGAGGGAGGGAGGGATGAGGCAGCAGAGATAGGTCTTTGACAGGAAATTCTCCTAGTGTACTAGTGACCTGGTATGTGAATCTTTGTATCTGGTCCACTAGAAGGCTATGATCACTACCGGTTCATACTCCTCATTGGAATGGATAAAATAAAAAAGACTGACAATAGCAAATGTTGGTGAGGATGTAGAACAGCAAACTCTCATACATTGCTAGTGAGAGTGTAAATTGGTAAAAATACTTTGGAGAACTGTTTGTGAATTTCTGGTGAAATTAAACATAAATCTACCCCATAAACTAGCAATTCCTCTTCCAGGAATCCACCCTAGTGAAATGAAAATGTTTGTCCACGTAAGAAATTTTATATGAATATTCATGATACTCACCATAGTAGCAAAAAATGGAATAATCAATGAGAGAAAGGATAAACAATTTGTGGAATATTTATAGACTGGAATATTACTTAACAATAAAAATGACAAACTAAAGATAGACATAACCGCATAGATGAATCTCAAGAAACATGATGTTGAACAAAAGAAGCCAGTTACAAAAGTAAACATGATTCCATTTATATAAAGTACAAGAAGAGGTAAAACTCATCTATGGAAATAGAAATCTGAATAGTGGTTGTGTCTGGAGTGGGGGTGGGAGGATTGGGATTGTCTGGGAAGGGATGCGAGGGAACTCTGGGATGAGGGCAATGTTCTGCACATTTGGTTACTTGGGTGAATATGATTGTCCAAACTCATCCAGCTGAACATTTATGATCTGTGCATTTTCTTTTACCTTATAAATATGGCTCAATAAGATTTATTGAATACATTTTTTAAAGGTTATGGTTCGTGCTTTTTTTTTTCCTGTTTTATAGTTCTAATTATTTGTATTCATCAAGGTTGTCATCTTTTGCAATACTAGATGACATAACATGTTAATCGTATACCAGTATCCTAACCTGTGGTCCAGTGATTGTTTTCAGTGGATCTTTGAGTCCCGTGAAGTTGAATGCACAATTTTGCATATCTTTGTGCATGTATTTTGCTCTTCCCTTGAGGAGCAAGTTCATAGCTATCATCATATACTCAAAAGGGTCTGTGACCCAAAACGTATTTAAAACAGAACCTCTGTGTTAGATGGTTCATGCAGAGTCTGTAGGAAACAACCAGTAGTTAAAGATGAATGAATGAATGAATAAATGACAAACTGTTTCCAGTTGACGTTCAAGGAACCAAGAGTCTACGGCAGGTGTCAGTGGCTCCATGAAACTAGCAAACGTTAGAGTAACCTTCTGGCCTGAGAAATAGAAGAGTCCTGATAAGAATAGCACGCAGAATCAGTGTACAATAAAGGAGCTTTCGATCACATTTATAGAGAAAGACGCCTGCTATTCAAAAGTATCATATACTGAGTCTATTTTAAATATTGAAATTAGGTGAACGTAATAGAAGCAACGGCTATGTTTCAACCATAAAAAAATTATTTAATGCTTCTCTCTTGACAGGAAAAACAATTACCATAGTGAATGCTAACAGAATTGTAGCAGGTTCAGCTTTGCCGGTGTTTAACAAAAGAAGACAATTTTAATGTGGCTCAGTTACGGCAATTTTCACACACTGAGTTTTGAGAATTGGTTATTCAGTCTCCGTCCCTGATTGCAGGGAGACAATGCAGCATTAAATTGATTGCATAGGGTTGTAAATGCTCTTTGAGATGAGAAGTTGCTCCATGTACATCTGAGAACCTTGGCTTGCTTTTATGTGGCTATTGACAGGTTTCTGTGGTCTCCTTTGCCCCATATGTCTTGAGTGTGACATCGCCAGGCATTATGGAGAGTGTTTTTGTTGGCCATTGTTACCTGGGTCCACCTTTGCAGTGAGAATTGGCACCAGAGAGAGACATAAAATACAGGTAAGTGTGAATACATCACTGGATCTATATGAGAACCTGGATCCTTTTCAGACCTGTGATTTAAAAAAAAAAAAGAAATGTGGGTGAAGATGCTTTAAAACACCACATTTAGTGGAAGACTTTAGGAAATGAAAGGGAAGAAATTTCTGATTTCATTTGTTATTAACATGTTTATTAATCAAAATGCCACATTGTGAAGGGTATTTCCAAGGGAGCCCTATTGTAGATTACTGGTCAGTGGGCCTCTTCCGTTTCTCTGTCTCTTATTGCATTAAGAGAAGATAACAGGTAGAAATGTACCAAATTTGGAGGATAAACTTGGAATAATCTCACTTAAAATGTAGCCTATCTGCAATATACAGAATTCACTTTGGAAGGTTCCTGGTGACTCATTAAAGAGCCAGCAAATTTCCAGCGCAGCTGAGATGGAGGTGCAATAAGACATTGAGGACAGATGTGTCATACCAACTAAGATGTGGACAGATAAAAAAAAGGCATCTCTTTATATACTCATATGGAATGATCCCTGAGATAAATATTTTAAGTGAGAAAAAGAGCAAGGTGTAGAAGAATGCAACCATTTACATAAAAAGACTGTATACATGTATACTTGCCTAGGTGTAGAATTTATCTGGAAGTGCATTGTAAGAACCGCCAATGACGGTTGTCCCCAACAGGTAACTGGGTGGCTGAGGACAGCTATAGCAGGGGAATTCCTTTTTACTGTGGGAGTTTTGGACCATGTGCACTTATAACCCATTCCAAATAAATAAAATAATTAGAAATATTAAGTCCTAAGAGGAAAAAAATAAGACGTTGACAGGGGAGTTTTCCTCTGTCAGGGAGACAGTGGTTTCAGGTATGAAGCCTTAAGGGAGGGTCTCTGAACTGCAAGGATTGATTAGCTGCTTGGCACTTGGGTAACCTCGTGTAGTTATGTCCCTGGATGATGACTTAAGGGTGGTGGTGGATCTTGGGTGGGATGGGCCACCACGTAATATTATGGAGGTCCCTAGGGAAAGGAACTGAGCCTGTGTGACTCTGAACAGAGACTCGGCTGAACAGAGACCTGGGTCTCCCCCTAGGGCACGCTGTGTGAGGACTGGCTGGCGGTGCACTGCTGTTGGCCTTTTTCCATCTGTCAAGTGGCCCGGGAACTCAAGATGAGGACCTCCCAACTCTACGAAATCTATGCAGCCCCTTTGACTAAAGAAACTTTTATTTGACAGGGTAAGAAAACTCGTCCTCACTCCTCTCAAACCTCTCTTAGTAGAGAGATTGTTCTTCATAATCTCACTGAAATAATCTGAAAATAAATGATTTCCCCTGCTGTATTCACTGGTGCCCTTTCTTTGTACATATCCCCAAGGAAAACTCTGTTATTTGTCACAACTTGCCATCCCAGCCCAGCCACAATAGGCCGATTATGAGTTTTGTGCCCTCCACCACCCTGCCTGGGGTTTTGGAATGTTGCATTTCCCCCCATCTTCCCCCTTTCATGAGGCGTATCTGGGAAGCTGGAAGAATTGCTATATGGCTTTCTTATGCTAAGCTTCTTTTCCCAAAGTACCAGTGATGGGGCAGGAGGTGGTTAATTTTATTTAGCACCTGGACTGGGCACTAAGTGTCACTGCACTACAGAAGTGTTGTCCTGACTCCTTCAGCCCTGACTGCGTAAAGGAGAAAGTCTCAGGTGGTTGTTGATCTTGAACAGCTCTCTAGTGCTTGCAAATCTTCAGCCCTGGACTCAAAGCCTTCGGAAGGCAACTGTTAACAGGTTGAATTTTGTCCCCTCCCTCCCCCTTCCTACCAAAAAGATGCTGAAATCCTAACTCCTGGTATCTGTCAATGTGACCTTATCTGAAAATAGGGTGGAAATAGGGTCTTACAGATGTAATTAAGTTGAGGTCATTAGGTGGGCCCTGATCTGGTATGACTGCTGTCCTTACAAGAAAAAGAGATGAGACACAGAGGAAGAGACACACAGAGGGAAGACAGCCGTGTGAAGATGGAGACAGAGATTGGAGTGATGCTGCCACAAGCCAAGAAATGCCTTGGGTACCAGGAGCTGGAAGCGGTGGGGGGATAGCCTCCCCTAGAGGACCCAGAGAGAGCGTGGCCCTGCCAACATCTTCTGGACTTCCAGCCTTCAGAACTGTGAGAGAGTAAGTTTCTGGTTTTTCTGTTTTGTTTTGTTTTTTGTTTTTAACTGAAGTATAGTTGATTTACAAAGTTGTGTTGGCTTCTGTTGGCTTAAGCCACCCAGTGTGTGGTCATTTGTTACAGCAGCCTTAGGAAGCTAATTCACCAAGCATCTACTGTGTGGTTAGAATACTCTTGTTTTTTATAGGGTAGCAGCACAGAGCAGTGCTGAGGCACCTGGGGTCTGAAGACAAAGTGCCTCCTTCGTTTACTGATTGTAGTGCTAGGGGCAGATCTGCTCATCTTGCTGTGCCTCAGTTTCTTCCTTTGTAAAATGACAGTACCGACCTTAGAGGGCTGTGAGGATCCTAACCAGTCAAGACACTTAGCACAGTGCCTGGAAAGGAGTGCGGACTTCGTAAATATGAGCTATTATTACCATTTACTGCTAAATTATATTCATAGCAAGTTATATAATTTTCCATCTACAGTTGGGATATAAAGCTTTCTTTTCAATCAAGTTTTAGATTAAAACTGGGTTGATTAAAATAAGGATGGAGTGGGGAGGGTACAGCTCAGTGGTAGAGAGCATGCTTAGCATGCACGGGGTCCTGGGTTCAACCCCCAGTACCTCTGTTAAAAAAAAGAAAGAAAGAAAGAAACCTAAGTATCTCCTCCTCCAAAAAAAAAAAAAAAGAACATTAGGTAAATAATCATATACATGGTTGGTGGATATGGTGAACCTTGGGAAGGTGGTAAAACATGAATTATGTTGAGCACCTGTGTGTGCCAGGCTCTGTTCAAAGCACTCTACATGTTTTAAGATATTTAATCCTTAACATTCCTCAAGAAGGTGCTATTATAGCTCCATTTTCCAGATAAGAACCTGAGCCACAGAGAGGTTAGGTAACTCGCCCAAGGCCACAGAGCTGGTAAGTGATAAGCAGTCAGGCTCTTGAGGCTGTGCCCCTGGCCTCTGCACTAAGCAAGCAGAAGCAGCTTGTGGCTGAGGCCTTTTTGGGCCTTCATGGTGGTACAAACAGGAGTTTGCTCCAGGGAGGTGAACTCCGCCTAGTAAGCATGGAGAGATGTCACTCACTCCTGCTTCCAGCTCTCCCCACCAAAACAAAGCAGTTTCTGTGTGACAAAGTGACCCCTCTCCTCCCAACCCTTCTTTCTGGATGTCCAGGGAAGCTGCCAGGAACCAAAGCCCTTTGGGAGCAATAACATGCTCAGTGCTGACGCTGAACACATGATAAAGTAGTCCCTTCTCCAGCCACCTACTGAAAAAACCAGGCCTGAGGGACGAGTCTATGAAGTCAGAATAACCGGTTTTATTGTTTCATGAGAAAACACATACCACGCTTCACAAGCTGTCACCTGGGAACAACACGGATTTTTGGCAAAGGGGTCTTGGATGACCTGTCCGCTCTCACACGATGACCCCTCCCTGCGCGCAGAGCAGAGGTACTTCCCACACCAGTTACAGGCCCGGTGCTTTTCTCGGCTGCGATCAGAGGTGCGAATGAACCTCTCTAGCAAGGGAGCCCCTTTTTGCCCTTTGCAGCTTCTGATCAGTCTGGGCAGCAGAGCAAACTTAACACCTCATTAGAGCCCCAAACCCAAACAAGTAAAACTCTGGGTCCTAAAAGCACTGAGTCTGCCACTGAATCATGGAACATAAAACAGAAATGACACGTGGTAGTGCTTTGAAAACCGATGGTGGAGAGTGGTCCTAGAGCAGGGAGGCTACGGGCCCTGACTTCCAGTTTCCTCTAGAACTTGTCAAGTCCATGAAGAAAGGACTTCACAAAGACAGGTGTTTCCTTCCCCAGAGAAAAGTTATCCGACATCAAATGTTTAGGTGAGAGATGACAGCTCTGATACTCAGCTTCCCGCTTCCTCAGACTTAACAAGATGCTGTTGGCGGAACAAATCTGAGAGTTAGCCAACAGCGAAGGCTGTTCTGTGTGTTTTTCTTCTTGCTAGAAAATTCCCTTTGGTTTTCTAAGATGCAAAGTGTGGAACAGATAGATCTCTGATGACTCTGGATGGGTACACAACACCAACACACATGCAATAAACATTTCAAAGTAATCTATTATAAAGATTGTTATAAATTACAAAACCAGAAGACAAACAAATGAAACCCCACCACACTTCGTGGCTTTACAGTGCAAGATACTAACGAAATAAGCTGCCAGCCCTGGTACTACTTTTTTGGAACAAAGATATGAAAAGTTTGGAAGTCCTTAAGTGTCCACTGTCCCAGAAAATAATTTCTATATGTTTCTATATTTTATACCTCTAAAGTTTATTTATACAATAGTCCCTAATGAATAATATGTTACACCCTTTTAATAAACATTATTCACATACATATCTCATAAAGATTCTCTTTTGGTCTATTAAAAACTGTTTAAAAAAACACCAGAGACACAAGAGTCCACAGGTTTGTTGCCTATATTTCCATGAAAGAGTGCATTTTTCTCCCTTTCCTCCTTTCCCCTAAATAACACCCTCTCCCTTGACCCAACATGTAGTAATAAGAAGTAACAGTTTCAGAAAATGAAACTCAAACTTCATGGTTAGCAGACTATTCTCAGGGTCATTTCTGGGCTGAATCATTCTAATTCGTCCTCCTCTGCCTCCCCACCACCTGCATCCCTTTGTGACCCAGGACAATTTGGAATCTAAATGTTGGAGCTGACAGTCCAAAGATGAAAACTTTAGGAAATTGGGGAAGCTTTTCTTAAGCTTCTCAGTTCGGCTGGAAACATCAGATTCTTCATTTTGTGCTTTAGGAAAAATATTTGGCTCTTTGGCTAAGCAGTTTCCAAGGAAAAGCTAAAATCTTCATGAAACCCTCTATGAAACTATGAGCCATGGAAAGTGCCCAGAGATGTGAAAAACAGCAAGTATCAAAATGAGGAGTGGTGGTTTCCTGCTGTTCTGAATGTCAGAGGGGGAAGCCAATCTCAGAAGAAGAATATCTAGGCGAGAGGGCCTTGAAGACAAGGCTATAATCAGCCAATGTGATCTCACGGTTTCTGGGGATTAGAAGTTGCGTTGCCCCCCACACTCGACCCTGTCCAATTTACACTACTTGCTTTTGTGTGGATGGCTTATCTGTATATAACCTTTCCATATATCATATATAAAACTAAAAGTCCTTCCACCTCTAACCTTCTATGACTTTACCCTGGAAAGTGAAGTCATTGAAATCTATTTATAGCTGGGCTATAAGGCCTCCTGGTCATAACAAGTACATTCCAGAATCTAAAGGCAGCATCTCTACACATTCATTGCTGCTGAGGCTAAAGAGGAGCCAACCAAACCCAAATTCCTCCCAGAGGAAATGGAACCAACACAGTCACAGTAGTTAGGGGAAAAGGGAGGACAGACTGTTGGCAGCACCATCACTGACCCTGTGTGAGAAGGAGATGTCATCACTACGTTATCCCTTCTGTGGTCTCCTGATACCTCTTGCCTTCTCACTCACCTCTTGGCAGATAAAGCCAATACTGCAGGACTTCTTTGCTTATTATCACCTTCCCCTGAGGTTAACCGCAAGAAAGGCATGATTAAGACGTCTTAGTTATTCATCCCATTAAGAGATGAGTGCAGTTTGAGCCCTGAATGTGACAGCATCATACAGAAGAAAACATTTCTGTAACCACAAAATACAATCCTTATTTGACTAATAGTTTGGCTGATGCTTGCTCCTGTTTACCGGCAGGACTGGATGAAAGACTGAGGATGCTTCAATGCAAAATTCTGATCATGAACTTTAAAACCACTAACATATCCAAATCATGCTGCATTCTTGTTATTGTCTGATAATCAGGGAAGCATGTGCTTTTAGAAATGAAATTCTTATTGATGTCTTAAAATGGGGGAGAAGATGAAAACATATGGCTCAGTCTTAGAGTATTTGTGCATTTCATTTATCTGTGTAGTATTTCTCTCAGGTTAGCACGATTTAAAATTTACATTTTAAATTATAGTCTTTTAAAAACCGAAGGTAGACTATCTTCCAATGTCATCTTTAAAATGGCTTATTTCTGAACAAGAAAGTATGTATGGTTATAACTAATTTTTTTATCTTTAGACTTGAAATAGCCTCTCAGGAAGCTCTGCATTCTGTGGCATCTCTCTTAAGACATCATGCATTTTTCTGGTCTGAGATTCTTTGTGTACTAAGTCTTTATTTCCTTGATTGGTGTGTTTTAACAAAAACCCTCTGGATCAGAAAGTGTCAGGGCAGAAAGACAGAATAGAATTGGAAAGGAAAAGAACGCGTATATGGTGGAGTCAGGGGATGGGGTGAAGCCTGGGGACGTGGTGAAGAAGCACTAGCCTCTCTGGCTTGAATACCTGAGAGGAGAATATTATACCATCCCCTGCACTGCTCTAAATCTGAGCTAGAGAGACTGGCCAGACACAGCGCTGGAAGGCATTTGATGTCCAGTCCTTTCACTTGTCAGTTAGGTGCTAAGGTGTGAGAAATTGGCAAGACAGAGTTTGGCTTTGGTAGCAGATCCAAATAACAAGAGGGATGGGAGTCTGGTGTAACCTGTAACAGCACGTGACTCATTTGCTTGTTCTGTCCTGGCCCGTCACCCACTGATACTGTGGGAAGACAGATTGGCTTTTTCTCCTATTACCCTCTGTCTTGGAGGCCAGCCTATTGGTATTCCTGTGCCATCCCTGATGTCCAAGGAATAGCACACGGTCTGTAACTCTGCACGGAGCAGTTTCCATCCAAGCAGATGATTTGTTCTCTTCAGCATCCGGTTGTTGATAGTTCCTCCTGGGAAGATTTCCAATGCAGGTTCTGTGAAGGTGAAAAAGACTTCAGAATCTGCTGTATGAATGCAGCCTGGTTAAAACTAGAGTTCTTTAAAATTCTTAAGTCTTTGGGGGCAGGAATCTGTCTTTTCATTTCACAGAAGAGATGTCCTGTCCTCGGTTCATCACATGGGGAAGTACAGACCATCGATTTTCCCATTATTGGTGACGCTAACTTTGGTCTTTTGGTTAAGGTGGTGGTCTACCAGGTTTCTTCACTATAAAGTTGCTGTTTCCCCTTGGTGACTAATAAGTATCCTTTAAAGTGTGCACCGACCCTCTTCAAGCTTTCACCCACTGGTTTTAATATCCGTTGATGATTCTTGCCTGAACTAGTTATTACTGTAGTGGTTACCAAAGGGTGATTTTTAAAAATTCCATCATTCCTTCTACACTTTGTAGTTGGAAGTTTAAGGAAGAACTTTACCTTCTAGAACCATCATTTATCTGTTTAATTAATTCATTAATTTGTATAGACTTGGGGATTCCTGTTTGATTATTTGTAGAGATCATCATCCATTACTGCCAAAAGTAGATAATCTGAATCTATTGATGTTCTTATATATCAGACAAACCCTAATTGAGAGACATTCTATGAAATAAATGGTCTATGTTCTTTGAAATGCCAAAATCAATGGATCCTGGGGAACTGTTACAGATTAAAAGAAAATAAAGAGATACAACAAATGCAGTATGTGGTCCCGGTTGGGATCCTAGACAATACATTAAAGTGTATTTTCTCTATAAAGGAAAGGAGTAGGACAATTAAAAACATAGCAGAGCAGAGGGGAGGGTGTAGCTCAGTGGTAGAGTGCTTGCCTAGCTCGCACAAGTTCCTGCATTTAATTCCCAATACCTCTGTTTAAAAAAGCAAACAAACAAAAAAAACCCCTAAAATTACCTTCCCTCCTTTAAAAGAATTTTAAAAAGAAAAAAACTTTTTTAAAGAAATTAAAAAATTAGCAGAGCAATTAGATAAAATCTATGGGCTAGTTATTAGTACTATATCAATGTTAATTTCCTGATTTTGATAACTGTGTTGTTGTTATGCAACATCCTTGTTTTTAGGAAATACACACTTTTAGGGAAAAACATTTAGGGAAAAATAGGCATTTGATTTTTAGTTTGTTCTCAAATGGTTCAGAAAAATTATATATATAATTTATATTACATTTTAATTTAATATTTAATTAATATATAATATATGAAAGAAAGAGGATCAAAGCAAACATAGTAAAATGTTAATATCTAGGGATCCTAGTTCTAAAGGGTATTTAGGGACTCCTTGTACTATTTTAGCAACACTTCTGTAAGTCTGAAATTATTTAAAAAATAAAGTTAAAATCCACAAGGCCCCAGAATTTCTCCAAGGCCTCAAATGTTTTATTTCGATTTCTAAACTCAACCTGCATCCCTGTCATCCCTGCGTATGTCACCAACGTCCTCCCCTCCCTGCCCAGCCCCCAGCGCCTTTTCTCTTCCTGAGGCTGAGAATGCTCAGAGGGAAGGGCAGCCAACACTTCTGGCCACCCCTTGTCCAGGTGAGAGCAGGCAGTTTGGATGGGCATCACAGGAGCTGGCTGCTCCCCACGACTTTGCTGCCAGGGCTTGGCTCTTGGCCCTTCTGGGTGCAAATGAAGTCCCAAATGACCACAGTGATGGAGGACAGGAGAAAGCTCAAAGGATGATGGGAAATTGGTCCAATAACACTTACGAAGACTTGCTTGCTAAAAGGCCCAGGCTCAGAGTTTGTCTACAAGTGAGTTCCCATGAAAACCCAGAAAACAGGAAATAAGTAGGAAAGGGAATTGTTCATCTTCTGTCCAATTTTTCAATCTGGGGCCTGATTTCCTTTCTATCCAAGGACTCATGCTGACTTAACAGGCCAGTTTTCTCTTTGGGGAAACTTTAATGATGATCACATCCATAGTCTTTGTGGAGCGGCAGGAGACAGTTGGACCATGCAATCCAAGTTTATGGGGAACACTGGTTTGGGGAGTCTGACCTAAGCCCCCACTCTCCAAAGGCAGAACTATGATTCGTGGCTACAGAGACCGAGGATAGTGAAGGAACAGGAGCTTTCAAGCAGGCAGTCACATTTAGGCTCAAAACTGAGCTTCTCTGCGCCCTCAGAGCCTGCCAGTGCAACGCAGGCCTTACCTGAGGACGTGTTCCACTCAGCACAACAGTAAATCAGAGGCTCCAGGTGGCTGCATGGCATGAACACAAAGTCTGTGATTCCTAGGACGCATTCTGTGTCCCATCACTGCAGTAAGTTACACAGGCTTTGGACTTGCTGTCTCCACGGTACAGCCTCACACGTGGGCAGGCGTTTCAGCCTGCTGGTCACAACTGTTGGCCCTTATAAGGGGGGGGGTGCCTGGATTAGACACACCCTGCTTCTCTTCCCTGTGCCTGGATGGGTGCCAGTGCTGATGCTGGGCACGTGCCTTTGGAGATGGGTCAACCTGTTACTATCACAGTGGGCCCAGAAGAGACTGCTTTGGCCTGGGGTCAGCAGCTGGAGGCACATCCCTCCAAGACTGGAGGCTAGGTGATTTGCGACTACTGCTTCTGGATCCCAAGGGAGCAGTGGTGGTTTGTTAGCTCTAACTACATTTATTGTGATGTAGCATTTCTGAGAGTGAGTGCAGGGGCAGGGAAGTAATAAGGAAGTAAGTACTGAGGGAAGGAAGGCTGGCTGCCACATGAATCTGACCTTCTAGGTTGTGCTAAATGATGTAGAGAGAACTTTAAGATCCACTGACATTTTAATAGACATCTGAACAGTCCATCAGTGATAGGCGGTACGAACACACCTATGGCTGGCTTTGTGCAGTCCTGGGTAGCAGCCCTTATTAGTCCTTTGTCAACAGGCCAGGGAGTTTGGGATTAGGCAGGTAATAATTCTTTGCTTAGTGAGCACTAAGAAGACAGGTCTGTTTGAAGTAGAAAACCCTGATGTCTGCAAGAAAGCTTTTGTGTCTCATCTTAAATGAGGTGGCAAGCAGTTAGCAGCATACAATAGAATCAGATTGCCTACGTTTATTTCCAAACCTTTCCTGGCCACCTTGCCTAATGTGGCTTATACCCCGCAGCCATTCTCTGTCCCATCTCTTTGTTTCCTTCATAACTTCTGTCATATAGAAATGATTCTGGTGGGGAGGGTATAGCTCAGTGGTGGAGTGCGTGCTTAGGATGTATGAGGTCCTGGGTTCAATCCCAGGTACCTCCATAAAAAAAAAATCCTTTGTATTCAGTTGTTTACCATTTACTCCCCTTCATGAAGGCAGGAACATTACTTGCATTGTTCACCTCTGTATCCCAACTGGATGGAACAAAACCTTGCACCCAGTAGATGCTCAGTCAATATTTGTGGAATGAAAACAAATGAATAAATGAATGAGGTGACATTGATTTCTACCCAGGAAGAAAACATTCTAAGGCTTTAAATGGAGATGGAGTAAGAGCCAGGACATTGGCTGGAAGCCCCTTGGTCATAATGGCGTGTCCAGCAGGGGTTTAACTAATCAACACATGCATTTTCTGACTTACAAAGTGTGCCAGGGACATGTAATTTTTGTTTACTGGCACCAAGGATAAGGGATTGTTATTGAAATCAGCAGCCAGCTGGAAACACATCCCTGTCAGACCTATTTGCAAATTAGAATGGACATTTCATAAATTCTGTCAACCTTGTGAAGCTGCTGGTCCCCAGAGGGATGGCACCAGTGTGCTCACTGGCTGCATTCAGGGTCACAGACAACCCTCAACCTCAAACCTTCAACAGATGAGGACAGGAGGCAGTAGGGAACCCCAGAAGACAAAAGACTGATGAGGGTTATGGCATAAGATGCACTGAAAAATAACTGTCGTGTTGCCTCACATATTGGCACCACTGACAAGCTAATTTAAAAGGTGAAGAGAACAAAGCAGCTGAGATTTCTGGTCTTAAAGAGCCAGCTTCTTTCTGTGACCTTAGACAAGTGATTTATCCTTGGAGCCTCAGTTGTTTGATCTATAAATAGGGGACAATAATACCCGACTCATGGGAAGTTGTGAGGGTTCAATGAGAAAAGGCATGTAAACAATAATGACAGCTCACGTTACAGAGCATCTTCTACATGCTGGGCACTGTGCTAACGACTTCATGCCCCTGATCTCACTTAATCCCCACCAAAGCACTCAAGGAAGCACAATTAGAACCTGCGTTTTACAGGCAAGGGGATTAAAGGTTGGGAAGATGAAGGGACTTCCCCATGGTAACACAGGGAGGAACTGTAGCATCTGGATTTGAATCCAGGTCACCTGACTCATTGTGCTCTTAACCAACCAGCCTGTAACTGACCTTCAAAGGAGTTAGCTCAGTACCTGGCACTTAGTACACATGTAATGAATGGCAGCTAGAAAATTCTGTTCTTATTTTAGCATTTGTCCTGACCACCTGCTTTCAAGCCTTTGTTATGCTTGCCAACTCCTCCAACAGCTACCATTTTTCGGGTCTCTTCTGCACACCAGCATCTGGCCTATCCGTCTCACTTAATCTTCCCGATATTTTTCACTCTTTAGGTGAGTAAAGGAAGTCTCAGAGAGGTTAGTTAACTTGGTCCAAGGTCAAACAGCCAAGAAGTGGTGGGGCCAGGCTTTGAGCCCAGGGACATGGAAGATTCCAGAGCCCAGGTACTCCTCTCTATGTAACAACACTTCTTCATGCTGCCATCTTTCAGAGCCTGTTTCATCTCAGTGAAGCTTTCCTGACAGCTGACACACTCCTTCATCACTCCCCTCTTTCGCTTCTCTCTGTACCATCGAGCCTAGCTCTTTTCTGTGCCCTCTGTTTTTGAATTGTGTTTCCATTTCCCTTTATTGGTAATAGCTACCATTTATTGAACACTTTGAGGTACCCAGTGCCACGATCAGAGTTGTATGATCACGTGCATGATCTTGTTTAATTCTGCTGAGAATCCTATGAGGTGGAGGTTCTGATTCCCATTTGACAGATGAGAAAAGCAGGTTCAAGGAGGTGGTGTTGTAACTTTTCCAAGATGCTTTCATCGTTTGCCAAAGGAAACATAACCAGTAAATGACAAGCTGGGACAAAATCCCAGATAATTTGGTTTGAAAACCCATCAGCCTAGCTATTATATAATATTGTTTCTCCATATCCTGTAAAGTCCTAGTGGACTGGGAATACAGCTAGAATAGCTATCCCCAAATCCTCGTTGACTAATGCTTTGAAACCTAGTCTTTACTGGAGGTCTCCATGATGAAGAAGTTCTAAGGTTTCAAACTCGCCAACATCTAAAAAGAATGTAAGCTTAAAAAAGAATCCAGTTTAGAAATACAATGTGCAGAATGGAATATCTGGAAATGTTGTTCCGATATCTAAAATTAGCCTTCCCTTCCAAACAGTATGGCCCCTTCTGGCTGTCTGACTGCCCTGTTCTTTGTCACGGAAGCTGGCACTATCTCTCTCCAGCTGTGATTGACATGTCCTCCTCATTCAATGAGGTCCTCCAGCTTTCTCCTAGATAGAGATGTAAACCATCTTCCAAGGAACTGAGTGGGGAAGGGGTAGGAATCCAGGTGCAACCCTTTCAAGGCTATATTTCTTTGAATTCCTCTTGGTTCTTCAGGTGTTTTTGCTGCCTCCTTACGTTCTGATTCAAGCTTACTTTTGCTTATTTGTGAGAGGCTCCTGACTGCAAGTAGTTCTCACAATCCTCTTGGATGGTCCATGGAGTCTTGTTTTCATGTGAAAGACATGAGAATGGCTCTGGCCTCCAGAACACGTGTGATCTACAGCAGTCAAACTCTGACACTGCAAATGGCCATCAAGTTGGTCAGTCACGCAAGCACTGATTCTAACAGCATTAACCAAGGATGCACAAAATGACTTGCAAATACCTTTTGCCTTTCTCTCTGGGTCTTGGCTAGCATCCTTTTAGTCCTTACCAGGCTACAGCTCTTGTCCATTCAGCAGTGACTCTATTTGCATAATTAGCTTGCATCTGTGGGTGTGAATTTTCTCCCAAAAGCAATTGTCTTTGAACTTTGGACAAATACCAGCATGGAACACTGGAAGAGGTCAGCTCTCGGAGCCCTCTTGCTCCCACAGAGAAGATGAGAGTGGGGGTCATTTTGGAAATTATATCCCCCTTCTTCTGGGACTCTGTATCCTTTAGAGTGAGGACAGGCAAGCCCAGAAATAAACTCACGAAAAGGGAGAGATCTAGGGAATGCAGAATGATCATTGTGTTTTGATGTCAATGGTCCAGAACCACACTGCAAGCTTCGGTTCTTTTTTAAGTTGCTTGGCTGTGTCTTGCCACCCTTGCAGCTCGGGTAGATTTACTTTTTGGATTTCTCTATATAGAACACTCTCAGTGACCTTCCTTCCCACCCTAACTTTTTGGATGACAAGACCCTTGTACTTATTCTCTGGGGGGGGCTTAACCCTCTGAGTTAAACCACCCCACCCCTACCCCCATCCTCATGCCTGTGATCTCAGCACACACACTGTGCATCCTCTCCCACCTCAATCATATCATGAGTTTATAGTTGCTATTGAAGAGGAGGGACCTAGTGATTTAAGATTAAGGTGTGGACTAAGAGTCGTGGGTTCTAGTCCTTGTTGCCTCGGACAGGTTGATTCACTGCTGAACCACAATTCTAATCTCTAAAATGGAATACTAGCAGTACCTGACCTCAGAGGGTTGGGTAGGACTGGGTGGCATAGTGCAGCTTAGGGCTTGGCACACAGTAGGTGCTCAGTAAATGGTGGTAATTATCGCTGGAGGAAGAGTCAGGCATCTCCCTTCCATCTCAAACTAATTATGTGACCTTAATCAAGGCATTGAAGCATCCTGAGTCTCAGCTTTTTGATCTGTAGGCTGGGGACAAAAATAACTTCTCCCTGCACACTTCACAGGGTTCTCATGAAGAGTTGGCGGCGGCAGCAGCAAGATCTGTTTCAGTGTCAGAATCAGAGGAGCTACTTCTGGTCTCTGCAGTTGCTACCCAGAGGCGCCAGGTAAGGCCCAGAGCAGAGCTGCCTCCAGAAAACCTGATACTCAAACAATTTGGGCACAGCCACAATCCATATTTTCCTTATTCAGGAGCAACAAGTTCTCCCAAAACAGCGGTTTTTGGGAAGAATTCTTGCAAAAAGCCCTTTAAACTCGAACTCCTCCAAACCAGACGTGCTGCT